CGAAACCGTGAATACAACTCTACTATAAAACTGCTCGATCCGGAGCTGCTGAACCCTAAATAAATCCTAAACCCTAAACCCGGAAACCTGAAACCCTAAACCCTATACCCTAAGCTGCAAAATCAAAAAGAGAGCCGGGCACAGGCAGTTCGAGCCAGCGAGGCGGCTGCGCAGCTGCGCCAGCGAGAGGAAGCCCGGAAGGCCGCCTTAGGCTTCTGGGTCTTAGGGTCTTAGGGTGTTAGGGTACTAGAGTCTTAGGGTCTTAGTCTTAGGGTCTTAGGGTACGAGGGTATTAGGGTCTTAGGGTCTTAGGGTCTTAGGGTATTAGGGTACTAGAGTCTTAGGGTCTTAGGGTCTTAGGGTCTTAGGGTCTTAGGGTCTTAGGGTCTTAGGGTATTAGGTACTAGAGTCTTAGGGTCTTAGGGTATGAGGATACTAGAGTCTTAGGGTCTTAGAGTCTTAGGGTATTAGGGTACTAGAGTCTCAGGGTCTTAGGGTCTTAGGGTGTTAGGGTACAGGGTTTAGGGTTTGGGGTTCAGAGTTTGTGGTTCAGTGTTTAGGGTTTGGGGTTTAGGGTTTAGGGTTCAAAGTTTGGGGTTTAGTGTTTAGGGTTTAGGGTTTCGGAAATTGGGGTTTAGGGTTCAGGGTTTGGGGTTTGGGAATTTAGGGTTTAGGGTCTTAGGGTCTGGGGTTTAGGGTTTAGGCTTTTAGGTTTCGAGTTTAACGAACTTTCAGGTTCATAACTAGCATTAGCAGCAGCACAAGGGCTCGGAGTTGGCGGGTTTGGGCGTTATCCTGTTGGGTTTGAGGTGTCGATTTTTGTGGTTGCTCAGGGTTTTGGGTTTAAGGTTTAGGGTTTGGGGTTTAGGTTTTCGAGGTTGGAGGTTGTGACTTTGACTCGTGCTGATACAGCGGGCAGCGAGGACTAGACCATGCCGCAACAGGACTACGAAAATATTCGCATTGTGTCCATCTGCCCTTCTTTCTCGTCCCCCTGCCCGTCTAATATAGGGGCTTTAGTAATTACCTACATTATTGTGGGGGTTCCTTAATATAAATATAGCAAAATGGGCCACACAACCCTAGTCTAATTATTATGGCCCCTACATCATCGATCTACTTGTTTGTCCGGACCCACTTGCTCGACTTTTGGTGCATCTTGCATCTAGAGTCCTTCCAAGTGTGTTTGTACTTGTTGTACACACGTACACTCGTATGTGTGCATACATATATATACATACTCACTTGCCGGCTTACTACTCAACTACTATTTGCTTGCGCTAATTTGTATATGTATATATACATATATATGCATACACATATGTACTCACACATATGTACTTGCGTAAATGTGTATGTATATGGTTGCATGTGTTTGTGCTTGTGTGTACCTGTGTCTGCATATGTTGATGTATGTCTGCATGTACATATCAACATCTGCACGCTTTCCTTCCTTCCTTCCTTCCTTCCTTCCTTGCTTCCTTGCTTCCTTCCTTCCTTCCTTCCTTGCTTGCTTCCTTCCTTCCTTCCTTCCTTCCTTGCTTCCTTCCTTCCTTCCTTCCTTCCTTCCTTCCTTGTTTGCTTCCTTCCCACACACAGAGACATACACTCACATAATATACACCTGTATAGGTTTGTTTGTTGCGCGTTGGCGCGTGCGTATGTATGTCTGCATGTATGTATGCATGCATGCATGTACCTATAACTCTAGCTATGCGTCCATCCATCCATCCATCCCTCTTTCTAGCCATGTATCTATGACTCGAACAAACCCTGAAGGTCCAAATTCCTAACCCAGAAACACCAAATCCCTAAATCCTTCTGCCCGAACGCGCAAAGACTCAAATACCTAAGCCCCAAATCCCTACGCCCCCGTCCCCAAAACCCTAAGGCTCAAATCCCTGAGCTCCTGAACCCCAAACCCTAAACTCTTCTACGGGTTCCCGTAAAGGGGAGCCCTAAATTCTTCCTGCCGAAGCCGACATGCAAGGTCCTCCTCGAATGTCGGGACCTCCAAGACCAGATCGAGGCTTTCGAATGGTACCATTGCATGGGGTTCTAGAAGAAGGTTCCGTTTAAGAGTACTGTGGGGTACTATGAGAGGGCTCCTTTGAAGCCCTCTTTTCAGGGTTGAGGGTTGTGGGATTGGATTCCAGGCTTCTTTGATACAAATTCCGTATAAGGTTGGTTTGAAGTATTTATAAGGCTATGAGGGATCTACAAGGGGTCTATAATTATAAGGGATCTGGGTTCTATAAGGATTCAGTGCTCATGGGTTTAGGTTTGGCGGGAGATGTTCTGGGTTCCTCTTGGGGTTCCCTTAAGAATTTCATTGCAGGTTCCTTCAAGAGGTTAAGGGCTCGAGGGTCCAAGGGTTCCTTCACGTGTTTACGGGTTCCTTCACGGGTTTAGGTGCTCTTGACGGTCCGGTTTAAGTCAAGTCAGTGAGACTGGCTTTTCTAAGACGACCAAACAAAACCCTAAACCCTAAACCCTAAACCCTGGACCCTAAGTGTAAGTGCCGAGTGTCGGAGGATGCCTCTAGGGTTCTTGGGGCAATCTTTTCGGTCCGTGTGCCTTAATGTACGGTTTAGGGTTTAGGGTTTAGGGTGTAGGGCTACTTACCTATATTATTTTGGGGGTTCCTTATCTGGGCTGGCATTTAAATTTCATGGTTCAGGGTTTAAGGCTCTGGGCTGGCCTTGCGGTTTAGATCTGAGTCTGGGCTGGTCTTTAGGGTTGAGGCCTCAGTCTGGGTTGGCTTTTAGGGTAACATCTGCGTAACAAAGTGGCAGGTCGGATCGTCGTCTTTGAATCACGGTTTAGGGTTGAGGGTTTAGGGTCTAGGGTTTAGGGAGCTACAAAAACGTGGATAGCACATCCTTTGCTGGCAGAGGTCCGACAAAACATGCGCGTAACAAAATGGTGGTGGGTCGGATTGTTGAAGCCTGGAGCCATAGAGTAAACATACAATGTTTGAATGATCGATAATGTATTAATGTTAGCATTATTCGCCAAGAGGAAGAATGGGAGCCAGTTCTATGGATTGTACGAAAAACGGTGCATTTCCTCATATTATGGGACTCTTGGGGTGGGTGGGTGGGTGTTATAGCAAAACCGCAAAGACAACTTTACTATAGTACTGCTCGATCCGGAGCTGCTGAACCCTAAACCCTGGACCCTAAACCCTAAAGCCCTACACCCTGCAACCCTAAACCCTACAACCGTAAGCCCTACACCCTAAACCCTAAAACCCCAAAGCCCTAAACCTTAAACTCTAAACCGCAATCACAGAGTACTTCCTTACCGCTTCCGAGAAAGGTCATATGTCACGCCCCGCTTGTAAGCAATCGACATGGCTTTCTTGCCTGTGCGGCATGATGATCAAGTTTTCTTTTGGTCTTGACGCCATGCCACCCCACGGTGCCTCGAAGCCGTTTGTACCGCCGCGAGAAGCTGGCAATCCGAACATATCGGAGCATACGCCTCCAGGACAAGCTGGCCCTTCGAACATGCCGGGGGTTGCCAGCATAATATGCCCTTTTTGACGGTGGCCAGGGTCGCAGAAACACAAGCACAAGCATGTATTCCAGAGCATGTCTGCACCTGACAAAGTGGACAAGGTGGACAAGATGGCTGTCGAAATCGACATGAGTGATGAAGTTTCGTGCCTATACTTGCTTCTCATGGTGGTCTATAAGAGTGCATTGCGGCGAAAGACTGATTTGCGTGAGGTTGAGGAGACATACGCAGAGGCACCAGCAGGATCTGCAGAGCATGATGGAGCTCTTGCGGACTACCTGAAATCCACCTGGCCTGAGGAACCTGATGTCTGGCCGGTTTCATCAACGTAAGAAGCTATGAAGCGCGCAGCTTGACATGTTGGCCTGTCGGTTTGCTGTATGTTCAAGCATGTAAACGAAGCCTAACTTCAAAATATACAAAAAACTTTCGCTCACTGCTAGGTCTAGGAGCTTGCAGAAGAAGAGCGAATCGACATTGATGTGCTTGGACATCAACTTCAAGATCCTGTATGTTCTGGGGAGCTAGACAAGATGTCGAAGCCTTCGCATCACTGGGCTCATTACAAGTCTGCCTTATCATGCTCCATGTCAGGATCCACACAGAAAAGAGGATTGAAGCACCTGCAGGCTGCTTTGAAAGAGTTTGCCGCGCAGTACTTGAAGCAAGACACTTCTGCAATTGGCATTGTGCACATTGTCTTTTTTCGCAAGCCTACCGAAGAAGACATCATGAAGGTCGGGAAAGGGCTCTTTTGAGTTAGACGATGTTAGTAGGATTCCAGTCGTGCATACATTGGAGAGGTACAAGAACAAGATGCATGCGGATGATTTGAAGCAACATGGCAAGCCCATCATACTCTGGACTTCGTCATCTGGTCGTGCGCAGGACATGGAAGGCCATCTTCACACGCACATGAGGCCTGAGCATGCGGATATGCAAGATCCATCCACAGCTTTCGGTGGCAGCAAAAACGGCGGTTTGTGCGCGATCTACCGTAGCATCGCTCGGGATGTTGTTCCTGATGCACTACGCAAAACCGCAAAGCTCACACAGCTGCAGATGAATGAAGCCATACATGCATGGACACGAAATGCGCACGATCGAGTAGTGTCAGTCGAGCTCTGAAGATGCCGTCAGCAATTGTTGATTGGTTCTAGTATGCAAAAGCAAGTGCCTAGCATAGAGCCCAAACCCTTAACCTTAAGACGCCAACCCTAAGATAAAGACAATAGACGTTCCACAGCAGAAAACCTGAAGCACTCGACGAGCGAAAGCTTATATCCTACTATTAAAACTTATCGACCCCGGAAAGCAAAGTAGCAGACATCCCAAACCCGTAACCTGAAGACTCCAACCAAAAGTTGGACTGGATTGGGAGGACCGGGGCCGCGGCTTTGTGCTAGTCAACCGGTGCGTTTCAGTCCCATGATGACAAGTTAAGCCGCTGAGATTTGGAGTGGGTGGACCGTTGCTAGCCGTGAGTTTGTATTTTTGGTCGACAGTCTTTTCTGTGAACAACCTTGATCTGATTTTCACTGACTTGTAAACATGTACACCTGCATGTTTGCTTGGGTTCACGCCAACTTTGTCTCATGTCGCAGCCTGACTGCTCCAGACCCGTTCTACAATGTCCAGCAAAAGGTCCGCTTGCACTTAGGGGAGGCGTTGGTTGTGCCGCGGAGGTCCTCGCCCTGATTCTCGTTGCTGAGCCCAGCTCCTGGTGACTTAATTTGAAAAAAATCCCGGCCGGAAAAACGCCCCCTCGCCGGTCGAGTTATTTGGGGTCCGATTTCACATCCGCAGGTACTGGCGAGGGTCTGAAACTTGTCGCTCAGGCGGCTCCCCCTTCGCCGGTCAAGTTTTCCGTATCTCGCGTAGCCCGGCCCCAACCCCAAGGCCAAGGCCAAGGCCAAGCATGTCGTGGAAGAGGTGATCTCGACCCGGCACGACGACAGCCCGCTCGAGCGCAAGAACTTCACCTACGGGCTTCGGATGCCTCGCAACGACTCGGGATAACGCAGAGGATGGCGAGCCTGCTGATCGTGACCTCCCTGCATCTGCCCTTCGACCCTGCTTAGCATTAAGTAGTTGCTCTACGTTTTTTGAGGCTCAAAGTCTGCGACCCAACATATGGGGGGTGTGACGATCTTGTGTGTTCGGCTGTGGGAGCTTGCACGCTTTAAAGATGTAGGTCGAGACCTGAGACCCAACGTCATCCTTTATCGTTTGCGATTTCTGATTCCAGCTCATTGGATGGATGCTATCTCGAGAACCTCAAGAGGCTGATAGATGGTAAACCCTAAACACGAAAAGGGGTAACTGATTCCCACGTACACGAAATTCTGACAAGAGACTGTATGTGACAAAAACCAATTAAGCCTTGATGGTAAGATGATGGAAGGTAGACCCTGTTCGCCCCATGTGACCCAAAGTATCCCAAATCTGATAAGACATGATGGATGCTAAATCGAAACTGTAGGCCTTACAGAAGATGGGTGGCCGACACAGTAAAGCTCGCGTGGGGGGATTGGGCTTGCCATACCCGATAAACAATTGGAAAACTAGAACGACTGGTACGTGACAATCCCTCTAACCTACATGCAGCCCTCTCAAGCTCTGGTACCCATTCAGCATGTGCGTGTTGATTTTCTACCTCGCGACCATCATTTTCATAGTGACTTTAATTTAATGTTCTCTGGCCGAAGCATCTTATTGTTTATCGTACTGTGTGCAAAAAACTCGTGTGAAAACTTCTAAATTACCGAGAAGTACACGTGACCAGGGCGTGACACTTTCCAGAACATCACGCCCTGGTGGCGTGCGTTTGCGGTGACAAGATTTCAGCAAAGGGTTTCCAGCTGCTGAGAGCAAACATTCATTAGAGGTCCGACGAACTGCATGCCATCCAGCAAACAACCTGGAAAAACACGGGCCCCAATGACGTTCCCCATTCTGACCATTATGGTTCGTATAAGATTGCCCTTTGCCGTTTGTGGGGTATAGTCTTGTCAGGGCCTCCGGGGGCAGCACCGTGCCTTCCGCGCCGCGGAGGCGGGTCCTTTGACGTTTATCGGGTTTTTTCATAGGAGGACGGAAGGGTTTTGCGATTGTAGTGTTCGGGGTCTAAAATATTTTATGAGCTTGGGGGGCTGTAGGGGTTCGGCGTTTTGGGATTTTGGGTGTAGGCTCTCGGGGTGTCGGTTATTTGCTTCCTGTCAGTCTTTGCGGTTCTGTGTTGAAACCCGGTCAGACTCCATCCGCAGAAGCGCCCCAGACCCTGCCCGCCCAACCGGGAAAGCTGAAGGTGAGTGAGGAGATGTTGCGGTTGACCGAAGTCACAAAATTGCGATGTTGCTGACGTTGATGATGATGGTGCTCTCGATGTACATCAATAGGAAGAACGTGATGATGTAGTTGACGACTGCGGTGCTCAGGATGACGGTGGCGATGCCGATGATGCTGGCACCAACGGTTGCTGCCGGTGGCTGCGATGATAATGAGCACGGCGGTGCAACAATGTCAGCTTCGTATTAGCAACCTTTGTTGTCCTCTATTATTTGTCTTTATGTCATACTTGACGTGTGCTTTTCGTGCTCATTGTGTACATGCGAGACAGTATGCCTGCATTCCCAACAGCCTGCAGCACGACGACTGCAATCGGGCTCGACCTCGTGGACCTTTTGCTCTTGCTACAGCTGCAACAGCAACAACTACCACTGTTGCTACTCCTACCACTGCTACTGCTGCTGCTGCTCCTGCTACTGCTACTGCCATTGCTACTGCTACTACTACTACTACTACTACTACTAGTACTACTTCTACTACTAGTACTACTACGACTACTACTACTACTACTACTACTACGACTGCGACTACTACTACTACTATTACTACTACTACTACTACTACTACTACTACTACTACCATGATTATTATTCCTAGTACTACCACTACTACTACTACTACTACTACTACTACTACTACTATTAGTACTGCTACTACGTTTACAACAACGACCAGACATCTTCGGCCGAAGATGGTAGAGCAAGCCTATCCTGCGAAGCACGGCATCTTTCTCTTGCCAATCTGAGCGCAGGCCGCTGTGGCCCAAGCTACGAAGGACTGGTTTGGAGCATCAGACCCCGCATCCTAAATCCTAAACCCTAAGGCCTGAACCCTAAACCCGAAAACGTGAACCGATCAGATCACGAGCGGGACTTAAGTTCGCACTGGGCAGTGTAGAGGTTTTTGAGCATGTAAAAAGGGTTTGTTCTTGGTTTGAGGGAGTCCAGTGGGCTGGCAGGTGTGGTTCCAGGCAGATGCCTCCTTTTCGAGCCTGGAATCCCCAGCATAGCAGTGGAAAAGGCAAGTTTAGGGCTTACGCTGCAGCTTCTAGCTTTCTTGAGCCTGTCGTTGCCGCTCGTGTGTTTTCTAGTTTCAGGATCTTTAATAATTTATTGCCGAGCGCCAACTCGTAAAACTTCATTTCTGAAACCCCATAAGCCTTAAACGCTAGACCCTAAAGCGGATAGGATTTGATATGCCTGTGGGGCGCAGAGCTTTCCGATGGAAATTTCTACAAGTTGATAAGTCGGGGTGCCCTGACAGGTAGGGTGTAGGGTTCAGGGTTTATCGGGATCCTTACATATTTGTTTGGATGGGAACTGCTTACTGAGCCCTACCAGGAGTCGGAAGTGCCGACACCAGCAGCACCGGTGGTTCACATCAGCCGGGTGGGGGCACCACAGCAGACCCTGTTCGGTGGTTTTGGTATACACCGCAGTATCAGTACAGAAGGACTCTCAGGGCTACAGGAATACTCTCGACTGTTATTCAGCCTAGGTACGAGATTCCGGGAAGTCTGACTCAAGGGTTGTTGATGGGCATGGTCGTATCGCTGAGTTGAGGCTTTCGAGTTTATGGAGTTTACGGGTTGACGCGACTAGTAACCCGAAGGCCTGCATCCTGAGCCCGATAGACTATAGTGTCTACCCTGGCACCCTTTGAGACGTGCAGCCCTCCGTTTTCTATGCGTGCCTACTGAAATGCGGTTGCGACTAGACACGAAGCAGTAAACTGCATGCTGACAGTCATCATGATGCAGTGTTCTGTAATTTAAAAGCCCCTGCAAGCTCTTTCGGAATCCGAGACCCTAAAGTCCTAAACCCTGAACCCTCAACTCTAAGCCCTAAAGCCCTAAGCCCTCAACCGATGAGCCCCAAGGATGGACATGGCGGTCGTCGAAGCCATCCTAGGAGCTTTCGAGGCCTCGGGGTTTCAGGAGGTTTGGGGGTTTTAGGGGGTTTAGAGTTTAGGGTTTAGGGTTTTAGAGGTTTAGGGGTTTGGGGGTTTAGAGTTTAGGGTTTAGGTGTTTAGGGGGTCTATATAGCGGGTTTAAAGCGTAGAGTTTGGGGTTCAAGGGTTTTCAGGTTTTAGGGGGTTTAGAGTTGAGGGTTGAGGAGTTTTAGGTATTTAGGGTTTTTGGGGGTTTAGGGCTCCAGGGTTTAGGGNNGGGGTTTTAGGGGTTTAGGAGTTGCGGGGTTGAGCAGTTTAGGGGCTTCGGGGAACAGGGTTTAGGGCCCTGGGCCCCCTTTAGAGGGATTGAGAGCGTGTTGTGTTCCTGTTGTTTCGTTCGGGTTCCTATCGGGGAGGGGGAGGGTTATAGGGCTTTACAGTTTTGTTTATGGGATTAAGGTCCATTGCTTCGGCTATACCTTATAAACCCTACACCCAAAGAGGAATAGATCGGGTCTTTGTGGGGTTCTCATAGTATGTGGGGTCTTATGGGCTTTCAAAGGGATTTTGTAGGTTGTTATGGTGCTTTTAGTGGGTTGTCGATGGCTTTTGTAGGGTTTTATAGAAGGAATATACCTTGAACTTTTTTTTTTGGGGGGGGCTTCGTCTTATGATCTGTTCAGGTTGATTTCTGAATAAAAACGGGGCATTGGGCTCTTCAGGGTTTACTGGCGTTGGTGGGTCTACGGCTGCTTTACGGGCATTGCAAGTGTTACGGGATACTGTAAGGATACCGTGAGGGGTAGAATTTTGGATGCCATGAGGCTTGCTGCTGTTACCATCAGGAACAACCCCAAACCCTAAAAAACCCTACACCAGGGCCCACAGTTTGAGGGCTTCCCGGAAAAGGCCATAAGGAAGAAGCTCCGCCTCCCCCTCCCCACTGGCCCTTCCGAGGCCAGAGAGGACGTAGGTTTTGGGTTATATTAAAGGGTTTGGGGTTTGGGGTTTAGGGTTTAGGGTTTTTGGGTTTTAGGGTTTTAGGGCGGGCTTTGGATTTTGAACTGGGTTTTGGGAGGATACTGGCTTTGGTGTCTGTCTTGCGGCCTGGAAACAGGGTTTCTCGCACAATTGATTACTATTGCAGAGAGCTCCCTGCTAAAAGTATAGTAGAATGTACCCCGAAGCCCGGATAAAGTCATGAAGGCCCCTTTATTGTCGGATGTCAGACTATACCCCTAAACCCTAAACCCTAAACCCTAAACCCTAAACCCTAAACCCTAAACCCTTACTTGAGCATTGGTCTTGCTCAGTGGCTTGAGGCATGCATGCGCCGAGTGCATTCTGTGAAGCCACCTCTGAGGTTAGAGTTTAGGGTTTAAGGTTATGGGGCCAGGGTTGGAAGGAACTGAATTTTTAGATTCTCATTATATTCCGCAAAGAAACTACTTCTGCTGCGCCGTTGGGGCTCCTCATCTCGGCCTAACCCTAAACTCTAAACCCTAAATGTCTCATCTAGGCTTGTTCTCTTGCTTCCCGGTTCGGGGTTCCTGGTCGTGTCCCGTTTAACCGAGCCGAATGAAGTAACTTATCGCAAAGGCATGCTTTCCCTAACCCAAAACCCTAAACCCTTAACCCTAAACAGCTACTATGGTAACTTGGACCTAGTCCCTTCGCAAGAGCTTAAGTTCCCCTTTTATCTTTTTTCGAGCCGACTCTAAAGGCCACTATACTAGACTATGCTACAGTACACTATACTATACTTTACAAAACTTTACTATACCATACTATACTATGCTATACTATGCTGTGCTATACTATACTAGATACTAGATACTAGATACTAGATACTAGATACCAGATACGACTAGATACTAGATACTAGATACTAGATACTATATACTATGTACGATGTACCATGTACTATCCACTATCTACTATGTACTCTCTACTATCTACTCTATACTCTAGACTCTATACTTTATACTATATACAATATATACCACATACTGTATACTATATACTATATACTATATACCATATACTTTATACTTCTGTATACTGTACTATACTGTACTATACTGTACTATGCTGTACTACACCGTACTACACCATACCATGCAATACGATACGATACGACACTCTACTATACTATACTATGCTATACTATACCTCATTGTACTTCATTCGGAATCTTGTATTTGTAGAATCTACAATCCCTCTCTCGTCTTTGTCCTTCCAGGAAGAAGTATTGGTAACCAATGTGTCCATTGAGCCCGAAAGCCCTAACCGCCTACCAAACCCTAAACCCTAAAGCCCTAGCCTAAAGCCCTCAAGAAGCCTAACCCCTAAACCCCCGAGCTGTAAGCCCTAAATTCCTAACTCTTAACAACCGAAGCAGCTCGGGTGCATGTTGGGTAGGAACAGCCAATTCTAGTTCTTCCTTGACGTACGGCTGGTCATGAAGCCTGAGCATGAACTAAACCTTAGTATAGTCTTAGCATAGTATAGTATAGGATAGGATAAGTCTAGTCTACTGGTAGAGTTTGCACTTTGGTGTGTAGGGGGCTAGACAGAGGACGAAGATTACAAGAAGGAGATCCAAAACCCTAAACTTTAAGCCCGAGTGCGGAGGCTTTAAGCGCCAAGCCGGACAACCGGCAAAACCTAAAGCCGTAACACAGGGGCATTTTGTAGTACAATTATAGGAAGAACGCCGAAGGAACAGCACCACCAAAGCCCGAACCTCAAATCCCCATACATAGACCCTTGGTGAATGACAGAGCCCTTGTGACTTCAAAGCCTGCTAATTAAGCAGAACAGCTTGAACCTGTGGAATGTAGGGTTGAGGGTGGTAGGAAACCAGGAGTCGGAGGATTGCTATCAGCATAAACTTTCATCACTTGTTATCCTTTATATACTGCTATGATGCTGACACATTGTGACCGTTGTTGTCGTTATGTCCAAAACTTACTACTGCTTCTTGTTATCACACACTTAGTGGTGGACTATCGCTATTACTGTTACAATCTTACCATCATGTCTCCTGTTGTTATTACTGTAACTCAGTGTTCCTTGTCGTAAAGGCTGTTTGGTTGCTACCATTTTTTGAGAATGGAGCTTCGTAGATGAACAAAATCCTGTTATAGAGGTTTAGGGTAGGGTGACTCCCGTTTAATTCCCAAACGGTGGGTGCACAACGATATCCTACCCCAAGTGCGAGGCTTCGCGAGCGTTATCTTTCGTCGCAGTGCAACACAATAATTTGCCATGAATGCTGCTCCTATCTGGACTTTCGCAGACGGTTCTGGCTCTTGACATCAGCGGACCTTCAATTACGTGCACAGATCAGGTGCACTAGAACCAGATGGTACTCGGGCTTGTATATTGGAGTTGTAAAGGACCAGGCCTGTTGATTCTTTCCTCCTGTGACGTTCGAAGCACAAGTCACCCATGAATCTCTTGATGTGGTGGTTGCTAAGCGGAAGTTGACATTTTCCTCGTGTTGTTCGTCATCTTCACATAGCGGTGCAGCCCATGCATACAATGCTTGCGGCACCGTCAACGTAGTGATTCGCGTCCTTTTCTAACATCCCATCCAAGTCGGGAGACCGGCTGGTTGCATCCGTTGGTGTCGAAGAGGCCGAATCGGAGGTCACCCCAGGACTCAAAAACGTTGGAGTCGAAGCTGAAACCCCAGAATCTTCAGTTGGAGGATGACACCTCCGGCCAGAGACAGGCGAACCTTCCAGGTGGGGCAGCGTATATGAGTTGCAGGTTGCAAAAGAGCTGATCAGAATAGGGACCATTGGGAATAAACCTTCGCCCAAGGAGATCCTAAAATATCCAACGCAAACAATCAACCTGCCTTTTGGTTGTTGTGGGGACGGTCAGGTGGGAGCTTAGTGCTTTGTGTGTTGAAGGTCCGGGATTGCTGTTGGCTTGAGTTGAGGAGCTAGGGATTTTAACATAAAAACTCAGCGTTTCAGGTCTTTTTGCGCTCGGGCTGATGTGATGCGGCTGTTGTTCCAGTTCTAGGTTTCGCGACTTTGCAGGCATCCTGCTTTGCTTTGAATGTGGTCCGGCCCCATGAGACTGTTTTGGGTTCGTTGTTTCCAGATGACAAGTGCGTAGCCATGAAAATACGGTGTACCAAAATCGTATATTTTTACACACGTACACACAGGGGCTTGAATCCGAGAAGGGCTTTCGGGGGATCGCGGCTTCAAGGTTTACGGGCGTTGATGTCTCAAAGGCGGGTTGCTGCATGACGTAGTTAGCGTTCAGAACAGTGCAGGTGTGCGGGTTTGCCGGAAGGTTCCATACCCTCAGCTGGAAACCCGAAGCCCCAAGCTTGAGGTCCTAGGTTTCAAGATTTAAACCGAAAGACCATAAAGCACTGAAGCCTGCAACACTGGCCTTGACTCCAAGCCCTAATCTTTGTCAAACCTATGCTACAAAAGCCACAACAGCCCTCGCGTCCCAAACCCAACAAAACCTCCAAAGGCTTTGAAGAAATATCACCCAGCCCGAAACCCAAATTTTGCAGGTTTCCTCGGGCTGCTGACGCGCTGCCCGCCGGATCCTCTGCTTTGGGTCGACAGGAGGTCGTAAACGTTCAGAGGTTTTCAGGGTTTTAGGGTTTTCAGTTGCATGGTTAATACTACTAGAAGGCCCAAAGCCTTAGACCCTAAACGCCAAACACTAAACCCTGAGCTTGGCGCCTGAGCTCCTGCAGGGCTTCGCGTTTAGGGCTCAGGGCGACTATTGGCCTGACTCCACGACTTCGTAGTTTAAGGGTCTACTTTATGGCAATATAGGGGCCTTGGGAATCAGAGCCAGGGTCGTTTCAGAAGTTCCTCTGCAAGGGTCACTATATGGGATCTATAGCACAGGATTTCATAATGTAGGGGCGTTAACATTTAGAAGGGCGTTTGGGGTGGAGCAAATGATCTTACACTCATAACGAGGAAGGCTAAGGTAGGAATATGCCGAGGTTTCACAGAGTTTTTGGTGGGCCCCTGAATTAAAGAGTGTCCTTTACAGTTTGGAAGGATCCTTAATCCCATGAATTCAGGTGCGAAAAATAAATACATAGATGGGCGTGTGGATCGTCAGGTTTAGGGCTTCGAGTGAGAGTTTATAGGCTGAGGCCCGGGGTGAAGGTTTGAGGCTCAATGCTTGGGGCTTTGGGTTTTGGACTTGGGGTTCACGATTCAGGGTTAGGGCTTGCGGGCTATGGGTTCAGCGGACAGGCGGTCTTATTATATGTCGGTGTGGGCTAAACCGGAGCCCGAGCTCTAAAACCTCTAAACCAGGGCCTTTGTCCCAGCGAACCCGAAGCCTTAAAGCGTGATCCAAACCGCAAGCACGGAACTCGATTCCTCACAGGCTCGTGCAGGGCGCCATAGCCAGCACAGTACTGGAATCGACATCGGACCCTTCGGGGTGGGGGGGGGGGTGCCGGGGATCAACACAACCCTAAACCCGCCAAGCTCTACGGGGAGTAGCAGAGAGGGTCATGTGGCAGTTTTCGCAAGAAAGCTGTTGTATTAGCGGTGGAGACATGCCAACTCATGGCAACAGGGTCGATGATCGTAGCAATAGCAGGTGTGATCACGTCTGTGCGTCAGAGTTGAAGGTGTTTCTCTATCCAACAGTAGTGTGTTAATCACGACCAGGTATACCTTCGCGTACCAAGTACAAACCTATAGAGTTTATAAGGACACTGCTAGAAAGTAGGTTCTGGCAGGTTGAGGTAGTGATAAGCACAGACGTTTGTACAAGCACACTATGTAGACTACCGGGGTGTTAGCAGACCTGCAAAAACCGAAGTTTCAAGTATACAGATGCACATGTGGGTGGTCCAAATTAGGTCTTCTTTTTTTGGAACCCAACCGAAGGTGTCAGACTTTTAAAAAGGACACTAAAACGGACCCAAAGTTAGATAGCTACCTGGTTCATATGAGAGAGATATCCGTCGGTGATCAGGGATAGCAGATACCACGCCCGAATCTTGTGGGCTACTTCAAAGAGAGCAGCAAGAAGCCCCAATAACATATGCTACTCTGGATCCCGGATCCCTGAACCCTAAACCCCAAACCGTAAACCCTGAACTCCTAAACTTCAAACCCAAACCGTAAACCCTTAACCCCTAAACCCAAACCCAGACCGTAAACCCCAAACCCTACATCTTCGCAGTTTCTTTCGCCGGCTCCGAATCTAGGCTTTGGGAGGGGTTTCTTATGTTCGAAAGCTACAGAAGCGGCCCAAATCCCAAATCCAACACCCTAAACCCTAAACCCATCAACATAAAAGCCTTTTTTGGGGTTGTCGATTACTAGATGGGCACGACCTATGGAGCCGCATGCAAGGCCGGCATTAACAGAAAGAAGAGCAAACTCCCAAATCCAAGCTGCAACCTAAGCCCGCCACCTTTCACTCCAAACCCGTATCTCGAAGCTGCATACAGTGAGCCCAGTGAGCCCTGAAGCCCCAAAATCTAGCTATTACCCTGAACCCTCAGAGTAGCCCTTATAGAACCCTTTAAGGATCCCTTTAAACCCTCAGACAGTGTGCCCTGAATCCTGCACTCAGAGTTCAGAGCTGGCGAGGTTCGGAGTGTTGCATGTACGGGGATAGCACCTCAGGGGTTTAGGAGTTTTAGGGGGTTTAGGAGTTTGGGGTTGATGGTTTAGGGTTTAGGGTTTACGAGCGATTCTATTCATACCCACAAGAACAGGTAAGATGCTCCTTCTTGTGATGTTGGGATAGTGCTGCGCACCCGGCTCGAGCTTGGCTTGGCTTTCTTCGTAGGCTGGCACGCTTCAAACCCAAAACCCAAAGCCCATGACCGATTGCATAAACCCTAAACCCTAAACCCAAGATTGTTTGAGGACTCCCTGCTGGCTCCGGCTGAGATCTTTAGACATTGCTAGCATATAGAGGCTTGAATACTTAGTCAGAATATCTCCTGCCGTCCCTATACAGCATTAGTTTTCTAAGGTATACCCCCGCTCTCGCTTAGGCCTTACGGTTTGGGATTCAAGTTTGAGGGGATGTCGACGATTGAGGGTGTACGATTTTGGCTTCTTGAAACTCGGTGTGGCTTGTCTGTCCTTCTAAGAGAGACGCTGCGAATTTAGGGTCTCTTGTAGGGCCTTTGAACTTTCCGAAACTCCCAAAACACCCGCATGTGCCCGCCGCTGCCTTGGCATGCGCATGACCGCGCGCTCGCACTCTGCAGTGCTATGGCGAGGTCTCCGGTATCTGTGGCTCCATTTCCTTTTCTTGGCTCTCATCTACTTGCGGATCCCTCCCGAAACCTGCGGTTTGGGGAAGCAGGGGCCACTGCGGCTCTTGCGCCAACAGGCAGGGCTGGAGCTTCGGACGAAGATCAACAATCCGAACATGAGCTTCAGCCCAGAGGCCAGGCGCCTCATTCCGCAGATCGCGAACGCCCGGGAGCGCGGAGATTGGCGGAAGGTGGGGAACCTCTTTGAGAGTTATACCGGCAACGAGCTTCCCGTGCTTCATGCGGTGCTCCACGCAGCATACAGCTGCGGCCAGTACCGGGCCGGTGCCAAAGTCTATGACAAGATCTGTGATCTGAACATAACCCAGGACGCAGCTTCCTTTGCTACCGCCATGAAAGTCTTCGCCAAGCTGCGTCAGCCCTCTCGTGTTCGCGAGATCTGGGCCGAGGCGCGGCACTCCTGCGATCTCGGCGAGTTGCTCGCGGCCGCCCGGATCGATGCTGCTGCAGCCGAGGGGGACATCGAAACGGCGGCGGGGATCCTCGATGAGATGAACCGCACCGGCGTCTCGATCAACATAGCGCATGTGACCTCCGCGATCCGAGCGTGCTGGGAGTCGAATCGTTCGAGCCACCATGCTGCAGGGTTTCTGGGTCCTTGTTGGGCACAATTTTTACATGTTTGTTATAAGGAAACCTAACCAGGATTAAATTCCTTTATACAGCCTTAACAGGGAACCAGGTTTCTTTTCAACTGGGCGCTGGAGATGGACCTGCAGCCAAACGTCGTCACCTTCACCTGTTTGATGGGGGCTTTTGCCAGGGCACCCCTTGCCAAGGTGCTGCAAGCCCACGAGACGATGCTGGGCTCTTGTGAAGGAGTTTAGGGTTTAGGGTTTAGGATTTAGGGTAAGTTACCATAATAGGGAAACCTTATTATGCCCTAAACGCTAGACCCTAAACCTATGATGCACTATAGATGCCCATTTGCTTAGCATCAGAAGGGAACCCTATTACCTGCTATAGATTCATAGATCCCCATGATGGTAACTTCGATTCAGTCCCCCAGCCCTTAACCCTAAAACCCTAAACCCTCAGCCCTCAACGCTAAAACCCCTAAACCCTAAAACCCCAAAGCCCTAAACCCCCAAACCCTAAAACCCCTAAGCCCTAAAACTCCAAAGCCCTAAACCCTCAACCCT